GGCCCCGGGCCCATGCAAACCAGCGATTTGCATACGGGGAGCTGGGGACCTGGGGAGGGGGACAGGGGCTGCTGCCGGGGCGGGTCCCCACCCTGCGGAACACCTGTCCGCTCTGACCTGGCCGGGCAGCCTCTCCCTAGGGCGCCCACAGCCCCCCAGACTCCTGGTCCAGCTCGCCCTTTTTAGGAACCCCTGATGGATTCTCCAGCCGGGGCCTGAGCTGCTGCCTGGACAGACTCCCAAAGGGTAAGCGCTGCAAGGAGTCTAGAGCGTTTAGAAAAGCTGTGGGGGTGTTCTGGAAAAAATCTGGCTTTGGAGTCCTCTCTCTCCATCGCTTACCAGCTGGGTGACAAGAGCCAAGGCTTTTCACCTTCCTGCGCTCAGTTTGCTCGTCTGTAAAACGGGCGGGTGCTCATCACAACTGGCATCTATCTATATGCAGTTGAGCAGGTGGCCAAACTCACCTAGCGCGCCCCCCACCCGGAACGTGCTCACAACATCCTGGGAGCTGGATGGGGCCCAGCTTATTATCCCGTTTTCAGGGTGAAGACATTGTCCCCTGCCTGTCCTCCAGGTCCCAGGTAGCTCTGAGTTTCTATGAGAAGATGATGTGAAAATTAGTTACCAAGGTCAGGGATTGTGGGGACAGCCACCTGCCTCATCTACAGAGGTGGGAAGGGACTCACCAAAGGCATACCATTTCCTAACGAGGAGCCTGACTCAATCAGGTCTCTGGACTCCCACTCCAGTGCTCTTTGTACCACCCATTATAGACTCATCATCTAAGCTCCCCCCACTCTTCTTCTCCATTCTTTAGGTCCCAGGAAGTGGTGCCAAGGCCAAGGGCTTACCTGTCTGTAAGCCCAGAGAGCCATGGGCTGACACGAGCACAGGACCTTGCCCTCCTTCCAGACAGGTGTCCCTACTAACCTACCTTCATCTTAGTCTCAAGGACTCTTTCCTGCTCACAGAACAGGTCCTGGGCGCCTGGGTGGCTCAGTTGGTTAAGCGGCTGCCTTCGGCTCAGGTCATGATCCTGGAGTCCCTGGATCGAGTCCCGCATTGGGCTCCCTGCTCGGCAGGGAGTCTGCTTCTCCCTCTGACCCTCCCCCCTCTCATGTGCTCTCTCTCTCTCTCATTCTGTCTC